TTTATATATAAATATCTCTCCCAGTGCCAGTTGTATAAATAAACAACTCTTCAAGAGTCATGTTTATAAATAAACAACTCTTCAAGAGTCATGTTTATAGATAAATAACTCTTCAAGTGTCATATTTATAGATAAAAAACCCTCCTCCAGTGCCAGCTATATAGATAAAAAAACCTCCCCCAGTGCCAGCTATATAGATAAAAAAAACCTCCCCCAGTGCCAGCTATATAGATAAAAAAACTTTCCCAGTGCCACATTTATAGACAAATACCTCTCCCAGTGCCAAGGTTATAGATAAATATCTCTCCCAGTGCCAAGGTTATAGATAAATATATCTCCCAGTGCCAGGTTTATATATAAAAAACTCTCCCAGTGTCAAGTTTATATATAAATGTCTCTCTCAGTGCCAGGTTTATAGATAAAAAGCTCTCCTAGTGCCAGGTTTATATATAAATAACTCTCTCACTGACATTTTTAAAGACAAAATCTCCTAGTGACAGGTTTATTTTGAGATACACATTGAAAAACAAAATAACGTAGGTTGGCCCTATGGTGGAGCTCTGGATGTCGGAACTGGCGAGCTGGGTCCAAATTCATGCAATACCCCAACATATCTTTCACACATGTCACCCCCACCCCCTACCAACGTGGGTGCGTTATAAGAGTAACAGTCAATCCCTTAGTATGGATGGTGTATGAACGGTGCTGCTGGCTTACTGTTTTCCCTCTGGTCAGTAGTTCAAAATGCCGGGCGGCGGCAACTATCGTCAGTAGCTTTGTCATAAATACAAATTAAAATAAATAAAGAGACGCATGTTTTATTATCTCATTATTTATCTAAAACGTTAAATTTGAAGGGGAATATCTTGTCTTCGTGATGATGTACAAAATTTCTAAACTAACATCGCAGTGTTCTAGGAGTGTGAGATAAAGTTAAGGAACCGAAGTCGTATGAGGTAGTAGCAAATATCACTGTCTTGTTCTGTTTTTGTTTTTATTTTCTGAGTTGCGGTTGTTGTTTTTAATCACGGGGTGAGTTTGTTGCATTGATCATGTGTGCTTCTGTAGATGTGTTTCAGAATGAATGAGAACTGAAACACGATTCTGTTTGGTTTGATGGAGTCTTCTCTACGAATTGATGTCTCAGTAAAAATAAATAAAACAACATCTAATACGCAGGATATTGGTAAAGCATTACGTGAAAAACTATATGAATCTTCTCTACGAACTGACGTCTCAGTAAAAATAAGTAAAACAACATTTAATCCGTAGGATATTGGTAAAGCATTACATGAAAAACTATATGAATCTTCTCTACGAACTGACGTCTCAGTAAAAATAAGTAAAACAACATTTAATCCGTAGGATATTGGTAAAGCATTACATGAAAAACTATATGAATCTTCTCTGCGAACTGACGTCTCAGTAAAAATACATAAAACAACATTTAATCCGTAGGATGTTGGTAAAGCATTACGAGAAAAAACTATATGGATCTTCTCTACGAATTGACGTCTCAGTAAAAATAAATAAAACAACATTTAATCCGTAGGATGTTGGTAAAGCATTACGAGAAAAAACTATATGGATCTTCTCTACGAATTGCCGTCTCAGTAAAAATACATAAAACAACATTTAATCTGTAGGATATTGGTAAATCATTACGTGAAAAAGTGTATATTTTTCTTTGAAAGTAGATCTACATCAGCAGTTGGCAACCCAAATAACAAGAGCTGCACGTTGCCGACTCCTGATCTACACGAACAAACAATTTAACCTATTCTGATAAGACTTTTAATTTATCTTGGAAGAGATAAACACCCAGAAATGTGTATTAGCAACACCATGGAACCATGTGCATCGCTGAACACTTGCAGGTGTCACTGCAATTTATCTTCTTTTCTTTTTTTTGTACTATATGTCGAACTTTGAAACAGAAGACAGTTCAATAAGCACAGCTGTCATCAAAGTTGTATGTCGTTGTTTGTACAAAATCGGAACCCAGAGAAGTGTCAACAGAGGTCGATGACAGTAAATTATTGTTTTATTCTATTAAAGTTATGTTTGTTTTTTTCTGTTATCAAGATCGTCATAGAAATCAATATAGGTAACACGCACATGTATATGTATTGTAGGCATGTATAAATGTTATGTTACAAGGTGTTGTTGTACAGTACCAAAACCTTTTAATATGACCAACAAATACGATGGTTGTAATACTTCGTAGAATGCATTTCAAGAAAGCAAAGAAAGTGCAAGTATTCTATGGGAAAAGTATTTATTTTACTGGTAACTTCCTTGAGAATTTAAAATGACGATCTGGATGAGCAGTCCCTCTTTTAAAAAACCAAAAATTAAAGTCGTTCTATATGTGGGGAAAAAAAAGACAGATAAACCAGAATCAACAAACTCACTGTTTATTTAACTGCTGAATTTTACGTGATGAACTTCAGAAATACATGTTTGTTTTGTTTTCATTTTTAGAGAGTAATCAGGATTGCTTATGAATTACAAAGCTACAAAAAACGCTAAAATGTATGAATGAACGTAACTTTTTTTGTCTAAAATCTATATTGGACTGAATTAGATGTATATGAGAAATAACTGCTATACAGCACAATACAAAAGACCAAAATACTTACAGTTTATTGGATACATTTGTGATTTAAAATATTTACTGCTTTTATTTTCTACACTATTTTGTTTTGGTTCGAGTTGTTGTAATTGAGTGATTGTTAATCAGAAAGATTGAATTTCAAATGTTACTGAACATGCCGATAGAACTGAATACGGTGTTTGATGAAACATACCTAAAAGCTGCTTAATATGTTGTGAAACAACAACCGGAACTACAGCTCACTCAATAAACAAACAACCGTTGACTCATATAGGTTGGTTTTCAACACCCACGATTCTCGTTTCTGTTGATTTAAACTGCACATTTTTCACTAACGCAATACGATAAATGTAAGGGACTTATAATGCGTAAGATGATTTAATAGATAGGTAGATAAAGACAGAAAAACAATTAGATAGATAGGTCTGGATTAGGGTAATTGTTGGGTATTCGGATTTATGACTATAACGTAACAATAAAAATGTTACTTTTTTGTACATACATTTTAAAACAAAGGAAGGTTTAATTCAAATTTGTTTATTATTTAACTGGTTAACTATAACGAATTACAAAAATGTACACAACATCTGGATGATGTGGCTTTACACCAGTTATATAACCGGAGATGTAGCCAGAAGGGAGGGGAAAAATACCTAAGAGCATGTTTTTTGTTCATTTCATCGAAAAAACTTCATAGCTGAAGGGGGTATGCTGAAAATCTAAAATAATACATCAAATTTATACAAATATCACACAGTGCTTTTGTTTTGTTTTCAATGTTCTGAAAAAAAAAGAAAAAAGATCTTGGTCAGTGTTGTACCTTATAAATATTTGGTACGCAAATATATTACTGAGTAGGATAAATCAACCACAGCGCTGAAATTAAAAAACTTTACTGGGGGGTTTGATACCTCTGTAATCCGAGAAATAATGTTTAAAGCAAGAGAACAAAGCTAGAACAAATTCTATTCTCCGAAATCTCGGAGGCAGATGGACTAGAGCCCATTAACGCCAGTAAGAATAACCATAAATGGGCGGTACTATTTTATCTTTCACACAAGGCTTAAAATATGTCACGTAATGGTTACTGTGGTATTCAAAGGGGATATAAACACTCTAACCCGCCTATAAGTTAAATAACCAGTTGATACACAATAAAACAGCCTTGTATTTATTTACCGGTGTGAATGCCTTCTCAATAGAGGATGTTATATATAACAGTAACAAGAATATTTTGAAGATTCATACACGATTGTAGCCACTGTAACTGAAGAAGATGTTTTCAATGGCTGTTGTTAATAAAACGTAAAACAGCATTATATATATATACGTATACACGACAATACTCACTTCTTCTAACCTACCGGTACTCACACATAGATACATAAACAAACTCACCTACCTCTTCATATCCATGTTGGAATGTGGACCTGAGGGTTCAAGGTTTGTGTCCCATTGCTATAAAAAAATAGCTCCGCACTTTGTAGTTGAAATTGCTTTATAAAATTAATGGTTAACTCCCATTAATTGGTGAGAAAAAGTCGTCCAAGAGTTTGGGGTGGATGCTTTTGGCTATTTGCTTTCCCCCTAGTTTAGAATTCACAAAATTTGGGACTGATAGGCGCGGATAGATCTTTGGATAGCCTTGCGCAAAAACTCGGAAACAAACAGCCCCTTTTTTAAAAGTTGCACAAACTAAAAAAAAAAGAGTAAAACGAAACAGAAAATCTTTCTCGTGTCAGCTCAAAGCCACAACTAACTAGTGACCTGAGAAAGGAACGCGATGTTAGTTTATTGTGGGCTAGGTAAGTTGAATATAAGCCCGAGCCCCACGGCAAAGCAGTGCACACACACACACACAAAAACACGCACGAACTATGGAAAGATACTTTCACTATACTTACTTACAGAATCTTGTTCTCAGGCCTTCGGTAGAAATTTTAGACAAGTCCTAGGACTCAGCACAGAAAAATATGGGCGTTTCAGACCCAACACAAAAGATCCTCTCCCCAAGGGAAGAAGAAAAAAGAAAGAAGGGGAGAGAGAGAGTCAACGGTTAAAAAAAATTGGCGGTAGGAAACCATTACTGGACATTCGTGAAAAACGGTTTACACCCCGAACCCAGCATGTGCACCTACATAGGTACTTTTAACGCTAAATCGCTGCTCACAAGGAAATTTTATAATCGCCGCAGAGGTCGCATATTACAAAACAGACAAAGGAAAAAGGAAAAATATCAAAATCATTTATCATTATTATTATTATTTACAGTTGTATCCTAACTACAACATGTTTAAAGTATGTGATAGAGAAGGAAACGAAAGCGTTGCATTCATCTAGGCTACACTTATCAATATGAGATGAGATAACAAAAAGTATAATCTTGTAGAAACGCATGTATTTCCTTAAACTCAGAATCCCTTCGATCCGTAGCTTTGTTATGAAAATATGGAAAGTGTTCGTATAACAGTTTCATAGACGTAATAGACTAAGGTTAGTGAATTTCTACTGTTTGAATGTTGTGATATCTTAACTTTTGTGTTTTGAAAAGCGTTATTGCAGCTTCATATATGTTATTTCCAACAGAGTGATGAGTCCATAAACCAAAATAAAATATATAAGTTTATATAGAAGGTAGATTAACAGAAATTTTACTAAGTTTATGAATTTTACAACTAAATTTTCATAACACTTTACTTTTATGTTGTTTTTAGTAAATGTGGAAGTTAAGTAAATTTGAGTATTTTTATATGTATGTTCGCATGGCAGAGCACGTAGCCTGAGGTATCATTTTTGTTTTTTCTCTTCCATTATCAGTTTAAGCGAAACGTGTATTCCAATGTTTTTTTTAATCAGTGTTAGGAGCAATATTCAGTGCAATGTCCATGTTCACACACTTGAAATTCGCGAGTTATATACGAAAAGAAGTCCTCGCAGTCTTTAATCAGTTTCACACACAAAAGTATAAACGTCTGGTTGGTAAATGTGACTGCGAAAAAATTAGACACCCGTTAAAAATCTTACTATTTCAACATCGTCACGTTTCCCTAAGACTTTAACTAACACAAAAGATAAATACTTTTTTTGTTTTGATCCACATTTGATTGTTCAGCTGAATAAAAATAACTTATTTTTTTATAAATTCGATACATGCACGTAAATAAAACGACAACAAAAATAAAAAATAATGTCCCATATAAGGATGTAAATCCTTTTAGGTAACATCTGGATTAACAGCATTATAGCAGTAAAATAAGTGTCGGTTGCGAGCTTAAAAGTATATTGATATTATATACACAGAAAATAATGAAACCACCGTTAGTCTAATGGTAGTGATTATTTGACAATGTAATAAGCAACTTGGATCTAAATTTCTAGGTTTCTCACATAGATATTAATATCCAGTTCCTCTTCTTCTTCTCCTCGGTTGTTTGTGTAGCACGTCCATTCAGTATCCACCCCTGCAACAACACAGTGGTAACGACCTTCTGAACAGCAATCAATGAATAGGGCGGAGGGGGGCTACAGTTAGTTTACAGCCTTGCAAGTTTGCAACTAACGGTTTGGTTATTATGAACCCCTTTACAAAGCTATCTGTCTTATTTTTCTCTCCCTCACTGTTCTGTTTCTTCTGTTCTTACTGGTACAATGTAAAAATAATTGGTAAAGACATTCCTAATAGGAAAGTTGATCAAATCGATCGCAATTTAACGAAGATTTTATAAAAAATCTTCAAGAAAAAAGCAGTCAATAGCTAAGTATAAAAAACTTAATATATCCTGTTTGGGTTTTGGAATCGGTGTTAATTCGAAAACATCATAACATTTATCATGAATTTTCAAAACTATCTAGATTAATTTCTCATGTTTGCATATTCTAAATGTGAACGAAAATATAATACGCATTTTATGCAAGTATGCATATTTAAACATTTCACTGTCGTGAGTTACATTCCTTGGTCTTGTTGTCCTATTTTAGACTAATACATATCAAAATTTTAGACTACACTTTATATTTTCTTATTTACGTTCATCACCACACCTCTTACAAAATCGGAAACTGCCTTTGTTTGAAACGTGTATTTTGGGAATATATTTCAGTTGCATTTTAATATTCAACAATTTATGCTACCTTGCTTTGGAGCTTCATATTTAAGAAAAGGAAAACAAGTTTTTCAGTAGTGCTATTTTAAACTTGAAATTAAATATTGAATGTAGTTTCATATAAAAAACAACAACTTCAAAGCAAAATAAGAATACTTTTTTTTGGGGGGGGGGTCTGGTTTTAGCTTTTAGACTGAGTTTTAGGTTAGTTTGAAAGGGTAAAGGATATCTATTTGTTCAGATAGTACTCAAACATTTCGGCTTATCCACATACGTATACAGCTAACACCCAGAGTATGGAACCTACTGTAATTACTGTTTGTTCGTTTCGAAAAGGGAGGGTACTACTTACCATAGAAAAAGATTAAGCCAAAAGTGTTTGTTTGCTGTTATAAACAACGGTATAATTATGACTGCAACTAAATTTACAAGGAATTTTAGCTTTTATCAATCTGGTCTCACAAAGGCTTGTGGTAAATAACGAAAATTAGTATTGTGTCAACTCTTGTGTTATCTCATACATTGACCCCCTTGATTATAATCAAAGAAAATTTCACATCAAAATATCTAGTTTATACCACTTCTCATATTCATGCATGATGCTAGAGGCTTTATATCATTAACAGAACGTATATTCCTAGGTTCCTTCTTTCGAACGTGTAGTCTTATTATTATTGGAACTACAAATATGTAAGTTACAGAAAAAAAGGGATCTGTGTTCGAAATATTATCTCAATTACTCAACTTTGCGTTTTGATCCTGGGGGTTGCGCATTTGAGCTAAAACTAAAGAAACGGAAAAGCTTACCAATCCATTGCCATTTAACATCCTTCGGCATTTAATGGCTGTATTAGCGGATGAATAGTCACAACCTTTAATATCAAATTACCAAATAACAACCGTTTGTTTGGAAAGTGTAACAAGCATAATGTTAGTGGATGATATAATGACTATTTTTCAGAACTTACAAAGAATTTGAACTTAATTTGTAAACAGTATATTTATTATCTCATTTTTAATGTGTCGGTAGTAACTAAACTGAAGAACTAAAGTTTGGTATGTGTATCAGTCTGTTTATTAATTATTAATTTATCATTATGTATCTCATTTTAGCACAACAATTATTTCTTTATTTGTTTATGGTAAGGCTACTAAGGCTACTGACTGTAACTTTGAGCTGCCAGCCGGAGGGAAAGCAATCGGTTGGCAGCACCAACCGCCAACTCTTCGGCTACTATTTTACCAACGAATAGTGGGATTAATCGTTACATTATAAAGCCCCAAAGCTGAAAGAGCGAGCATGTTCGACGCTAAGTTTCGATCCCGTGAGTCACAGCTTGTGAACTGAGCGCCTTACAAAAGAAACGCTTGATAAGTTATCTTATGAAATTTACTTTATCAAGAAGCTGACATAATGATCTGAATTTCTCAACTTGCTGTTAATGTCTTAGTTTACAGTGAAAACTGAGACATTTTAGTCCTAATTTTATTTCCAAACTTTTATAGGTGTAGTATTTTACTTTTGACAGGTCTATAACAACGCACTTTTGTTTTTCTTCATCTATTTTCTTAATATATAATTTTAACAACTAACTTATAGTTTTAAAGGTTTAGAATTTAACCGGCGTGATTGTTTCACAAGAATAGCTTCTTTAATTATTTTGATTATTTTTTACTATCTTTCTGTTTGTGTAGGTAACGATATAATGTTTATTTCAAAGAGAATCCTGGTCTATGAATATGAACATTTACTGCTTTGATTTGAAATTAAGCATTTTTACATGCTAAAAAATCAATCCATCTATCTATCTACTTATCTGTTTGCCAGTTTCAAAGATATAGCAAATATAATGAAAGCTTAAAGAGCTCTAAGTATTTTTATTACTTGCATCTAGAGTTTTACATGATCCCAATAGACTTCGGATACCGGCCGCACAGAAAAACCTCAAGTTGTGTGTTATAGGAAGAGTTAACATTTTAGTATGAAACTTGGTCAGCACCGGGTTTTGGTCGTTGAGGACCTGGGAGGGTCAGGTACATTTTCGACCTCTTCCTCCCCCTTTTAGTATGATTGTGTCCAAGCTACACGAGGGCTATCTGCGCTAGCCGTCCATAATTTAGCAGTGTAAGACTAGAGGGAAGGCAGCTAGTCATCACCACCCACTGCCAACTCTTGGGTTACTCTTTTACCAACGAATAGTGGGATTGACCGTCACGTTATAACGCCCCACGGCTGAAAGGGCGAGCATGTTTCGTAGGACGGAGATTCGAACCCGCGACCCTCAGATTGGGAGTCAAGCGCCCTAACTATCTGACCATGCCGGCCCGTGTCCAATAGGAATATTGACGGACTCAGAGAAGAGGTTTTATACATATATATATACACACACGTACCTGGGGTGCTAAAGTGCAAGAAAGACCTGCGAATGGTAATTCTATGGGGAACAGGGTATACGACCCCAGAAAATGTGACATTAACAGACTTCAAATGGAACAATTTCTAAAATATTCATGATAAAACGGCGAACATCTAGTGTATAGTAACATTAAAATTATGAATGGGTATTAATTTGCCCCACAGGCGTACACTTATGGATCTGACTCCCCCTCCCATGTCCCCTAGTTCTTTCATTTGTACACATGGACTTGAAAAATTGAAGCATCATGGAAAATGAATTCGCTTTAGTATTATATCAACAAAGCTTCATAGCATAAATGTAAATTAAAACCGAAATTGTAAAACACATGCAAATCCTTTTTTTTTTGTACATACAGCAAAACATAACTTGGCATTTTAATAATAACTAATGATGAATTTTAAAGAATTGAAATATATCCTTTAATACAAGCGTTTCTCAACTCATGTGTGAAAGGGTCGCTAATAGACTCTGAAAATAGTTAATACCTTTTTTGTTTATTTAATAACTATTTAGTGAACGGTATGTTTTCACACAAAAGTTATCTACTGGGTTTCTACTGGCTATTAATGTTTAAAAATGGATCCTGATACAAAAAATATAAAATGCTCAGACTCATTACTTTAAAACCTAGATTCTTTCAGACTTTAATTACAGTTTAATATCGATTTATATGCATATTTTGATTAAATTCAAACCGATAGCTCAACAATAGCGACGGAGTAGACGTTTTCTGTAGTGTTTTTTACACAATAAGTTGGCAAACAACGATTTATAAGCATAACAGAATGATTTATTTTTTTGGGGGAAACATATTATATATTTCGACAGAACATTGGTCGGTCTCCTTCAGGTATATCTGTACGCGGAGAAGACTGACAAATGCTCTGTCGAAAAAATTTAGTATGTTCCCCCAAAATCAATCATTCCATTACGCCTATAAATCGTTGTTTGCCAATTTATTATTATTATT